CCTCCACACTGCTGAGCCACCCCCCCCACACACACACACTGCTTTCTCGCCTGATGAGTTTTACAGTAGGCATGGGGGACCAGCAGAAACAATGGAGCCACAGGACATTAAGGAACTGAGGAATTAAACTGTCTCGCCGTGACACCAGGGACATGTTAGCGTGAAATAACATGCGTAAGAGCGACCCCTTCAGGACAGCGTGAGGCGTGCATTGGGTAAGTATCACTGCCTGGCTGTGCAGGGTCAGGTCATTCACCTCGAGCGAAGTGGAAGAACCTGCCGGACGAGGCGTGTGGTCCTTTACGTCTCGGGATGGAAGCCAAGGGTGACGGCCTATGGATGAAGCGGCGGCGCTGGAGGCTGGCGCTGAAACACGCCGGTGACTCGGGGAGCCCCCAGCTCAGCGGGACTCTGGCACTGCAATCATCTCTGTTTACAAAACACGCCACGCTTTGTTTGCAAAGGTTTTCTGAATGTCGTCCTGCGCAGCAGAGGAATAATTTCCCGAGTCTACCAAGCGTGTCTGAATGGAAAAGAAGGGATGGTCTGAGGTCTAATGCCATCAGCGGCATCGGCACATTAGGTGGGATGTGGCCGTCCAGACGGCTAGTTTAAAAGGGCAGTAAAACTCTGAGAGGAATCCATTACGCCCCTCACATGGGCTGTCAGGAAGGGTTTGGCCTCCCAAAGGCATCAGGCCGGGAATCAGGGCCTCACACATGCAGCACTGTCCCCGTCGCTGTATTTCCCGGCACAGAGGAAAGTGAAAAATAAAAGGATCACATGAGTATCCGCAGCTAAACACAACATCCAACTGGGTCCCGGAGGAAAGCATCAGCTGTGACTGTTGGGTTCTTTAGTGAATTGTTTGAATTTCCATTATATTACATTTATTTTATTACATTTATGTAGCCAGTGGTGTCTTAATGGTTAGGGAAGCGCACTTGTAATTGAAAGATTGTTTCGAATCCCCGACCAGTAAGGTACCACTGAGGTACCGCCCCCAAGCACTGCTCCCCAGGCGCTGAATTAGCTTCCCCCTGCTATGTCACCATGTCACATATGGGTTAAATGCAGAGGATGCATTTTATTGTTGTGTGGTGTGTCAACAATGACCACCGATCACCAAATTCTAATTTATTTAGTAGAGGATTTTATCCAAAGTGGTGTAACACTTCTGAGAAAACAGGGTTGCAGGAGCAATTGGGGTTTAAGGGCCTTGCTCAGGAAGCAAAGGGTGACATCACTCTGCTGACCATGGGATTTGAACCAGCAACCTACAGATTACAGGCAGCAGCCTAACCTGCTGATCTACACACCACCACCCTCCGGAATGTGTATATAAACTCTTGATTAGTGGCCATTCACAGTGAGTTGGCAGCCTCCCTTCCCGATCGAGGTGGGATTCAACCACATGCTCACATAGCAAGGAAATAAAACGTGTGCCCTGACTTCAGCAAGACATCCAGAAAGGCAGATTGGTCTGCTTCCTCATCAGGACATTAACAGCTATAGAGTGGGGTCGTCACCAACACCACCTTCAGCGGTCTGAGAGGCGCGTCAGTGCGGCTTTACACACCCGCCTTGCTGCTATCGCGGGGGCAAGCCCCAAATTCAGGGCATTGTGCTGGAGGCAGACCAGGAAGACGAGTAATTCTGATAATCCATTGAGAAATGCGACCTAAAGAGGCTGTGAAGTGCAATGAGTTTACATGTGGCACTGTCCATGGCTGCTGCTTGTCTTCTGTCTTAGAGGTGCGGGACAGGGTTTGTTTGGATGTGAGGATCAGCTGCAGGACGACACACGGAGGAGTGTAATGCCCCAGCATACAGCTCACTGTGTGTGTGTGTGTGTGTGTGAACAGCAGGCATTGCTTGCTAGAATATAAACAACCCGGCAATATTTAGCTGTTAGTTTTAGTATTTTGAGTTTTCCCCAGCAGAGAGCAGAACACACTTTACCTTCATGTCTAACTCCAGTTTTGAAGAGATGTCCCTAATTTCTGGCACAAAATGCTATTTTGCACTTTCATGGTACTCCTCCTTTAATTAACTCAATTTTAAACAAGACAGATATAAAACACAGCACTTAACACAGCTGTGAGGTTCCCCTTAAGTTGCTCATGAATATTTGACTTGTTTTATCTGCAAAGATCATTAGAGACCCACTGTAGCACCCAGCCGGCCTCATCTGCTCCGCCGCACACTTAATATCCCACACATTTGTGCAGTTCTCATTAAACATGTTACTGCCAAAAACATACGATATGCATACAGCCATTCACTTATTTTACCTGCATATGAAATTACATTTTATAGTGTTATTTTAGTGTCTATCATTGCACATTTATTTTACAGCAATGCTGTAATGAAGCCCTTCTGATATTTCTGGGGGGCGCCCTCAGCCCTGTTTCAGCCCCCAGGGGACACGGGGGCCCATGTCACACTCAGGCACTGATGCCTGGCCAGACCCTTCAGGAAGCACTCAAGGGCGAAAGACGCTGGGAGTTTGATCCACCGAATCCAGTGGCAGGTTTCCGCAATATTCTCTGCAAGCGTATGAACATTCTGGCATGTTAAATAATATTAACAAGAGAATATTATTCTTACGGAGGACCGGTGACATAATGACAAATTAACATTATAAGAACATATGGTACGATGATTAAGAATTTCCCATATTACAGGAGGTGCAATAACCCCGACTTTCCTTTTCCGAGCTGATATTTTTGTGACAAAAAGTTTAGCTTCAATTCTAAAAAAAGTGACTCAGTGCTGCTGTAGAGTGATGGACGGTTATACCCCTTCAGAGGAGCTGAGCTTTACTGATGACAAAAAGAGAAAACTCTGAGCGTTTAGCAGAGAGTCAGCTGGGCTTTGCCGCTAACTCCTGGATTCGTGTGCGCCTCGCTCTCAGGGGCAGACACTGGGTACCTGAGGTGATCTACGCGCCACGTGGATCTGGGATCATGACCCTCAATGATGGCGGCTCCTGAGCGTTCACACGAGTCAAGGTAAAATAAAGCCCCTGGAAGCAGATCCGTCACGAGCGGGCAAGTCTGGGAGATGTGCAGGTAGTAATGACACCTTAAGCTTAGCCGGCATCTCCTTCCTCTGGCTGGACATCCTGCCCCCCCCCCCCCCCCGCAAGGAGAAGCCGGCCGCAGGTGTGAGGTCTGCGGCTGACAAGCTCCGCACGTGTCAAGTCACACGCTGCCACGTCGC